CCCCCCGTGCTGCTAGCAGATCTACCATGCTCGTATCCAGACACACGAACATAGGCTACATGTACTGTCAAGCGCACCGGCAAGGAGGCATCAAGGTCACCTACACCTACGAGGGCACTTTCTTCGTCACCCGTGACGGCGCTGTGTTCAACCTTTCTCCACCGACCTGGCTTCCGATGGGGCCAAAACCAAGCCGCAGGATCGAGGAAAGAATGCTCAGGGTCCTTCACAACACCAAGCGCAACCCCAGGGCCGATCCGTCCGTCGCTCATCGGTTTGTGGATCTTTTGTGTGCGAGATCTGAGCCGTGTGGGCTAAGCGCAAATACTGCATTGTCGACCCGCAACCAAGGAATGTCGGGTCCAGGCTCAATTTCTAATTTCTTCGCCACCCTCGAGCACAGATAGACGTGAAGAGTTCAATTTTGGGTCCACCGCGAAGCTGCGTGCATTAGCCTTAAAACATACAATCCCTTGGAAACTGAGTTAAGTCTCTGTTTCTCAAACTTCCTGTACTTTTAAAACCGTTTGTTGGATCTTGTGCCCGGCTTATCCCCGCCGCTCCCCTTCCGATACGACCGCTATCCCCGGCATGAAGCTGCGCAACGCTCGACGGGCTGAAGACCGAGTTTTCAAAGATGTTCAAAGCTGTCCCGAAGAAACCTGTGGCAAGTACAAGTGGTTCTATCGCAGCAACGTACTAGGTTACCCCCATGTGCCGATTGACCGGGACGCCGCAGCTGATCAGCGCTTCGATACAGATTGCATTCTCCTCGTGGGAACGAAACAGCCAGGTCGCACGATTACGTAGGTGAGGAGCAGGCTGAGATGGTTGACGTATAGCACAGGGGATGGGTGTTTTTTTACTCGTAAAGCGCAGACAACGAGTGCCAAGACGGTGGGGGATATTTTAGACCGTTTTTGATGTCTGCAACAGCGGTGCTTGGGTAGGTGTTCGAACGCGTGCTCCGTAAGAAAAGGTCAAGCCTCAATCTAGCCTAACACGCCGTGAGGCGAGCTATGCGCCATACCTGCGACGTCCAGACACAAATTGTGAAGCTATGAAGGGCACGCCACGAGCGCAATTAATGGCGTGAACAGTGCGATACGCCCAGATCAACACGCGAGCGAGTGTGTTTGACATGCTCCTCGATTCATCAAGTTGCACCCGTCAACCGTGTATCACACGACCCACAGGCACTATTGGTGGGAATCCTTGGCGAGGACCGCATGACGTGCGTCGACGACGAGTTGATGGGAGCTTGTTCGTTTATGTCCTTTACTTGGAAGGGGAATACGTTTCATCTCTTGTATTAGACACGCAAGGGGAGTAGGGAGAAGTGAAGCTCTCTTTGGAGCTCGAGGGGTCCCCGCACATGCAAACCATTTCAAGGTGTACATATGCCCCATCTGCGTGCCCTCTGTTGTTGCCGGTAGATCTAACCAGTCCGTATCCAAACACACGAACACCCTCCCCGGTTTGCACGCGAGGCAAACCTAACGTGCGGCATGGATACCCCTGATCTACCAATGGGACTCAAAACAACAATAGGCTCAAGGGAAAACCCGGCCAACCGGATCAAAAACCCTCGTCTAACACCCTAAATATAGAAAAAACGTCGCTAGCACGGAGGATTCCAACGGTCGCATTTCCAAGACAAGACCAAGGCAGGACAGATTGAACCGGTCACGTTGATGACACACCCGAAACAACGCTCTCGGCATTTCTAGGCTCCAGCCGCGGGTGACGCGCCGGCACAACGCTTCCTGCGTGACGTACCATGGACATATATGCCGAGTGCTAAAACCAACACATGCACCAAACAGAACAAGCGAACACTACATCGGTAGGTTCATCTAAGCCTTCCGGTGGTACTCTAACTTCTCTCTGCGAAGGACCTTGGTCAGCATACCGGCGTGCTGCTCTCCAGTCGGAACATACTCTGCAGTGATCTTGCCCGACTTGAACAGCTCGCGAATGAAATGGAACCGCACGTCGATGTGCGTGCTCCTCGCTGAGCTGAACGGGTTCTCGATTAAGGCGAGAGCCCCCTTGTTGTCCTCAAGGACCTTGATCTTCGCCCCACTCGTCTCGGGCGCTATGGACGACAGAACGCCACGCAAACAACGCCTCCTTCACGTCCTCCCCGGCTGCCACATACTCTGCTTCCGAGGTCGACTGAGCCTTCACTGGTGGCGTCTTGGTGGATGCACACACTACGGTACCACCTACGGTCACAGCTAGCCCGGTCGTAGAACGCCTGCCTACTTCGTTTTCAGCGTAGCGGGCATCGACAAACACGCTAAGGTCTAGTCCTGACCCTCGTACGTAGGTGATGCCGAAGTCCTTCGTGAAGTTCAGGTAGGACATGATCCGCACAAGCGCGTTCCATATCCTCCCGGTGGGTGAGTGGGCGATCTTCTGGAGCTTGTTCAGAGGCAGGGCGATGTCTGGCCTCGTCACTTTCGTCCACATCAGGCATCCGATCGCCTTCCTCACAGGCTTATCCACCGCGGGCGCGTCATTTCTCTTCGGCCTTTGAACTTATGGCCTTCCGCCCCTCGGGCAGCTCCTTGACCTTGGTAAAGATTCCAGTCTTGTCGTGGCCATCAATCTCTTTCTTCATGGCCGCCTCCCAGAAAACCTTGTACTTGGAACACATCACATCCTTGTACGTCATCGGTACTGCTTCCACATCACTCGGCTCCTGCCCGATTGGCGAGGTCATACTTAGCTGTGGGTCTGGGAGTGGTTGCGAGGACCCGCTGGCGTCGACCTCGGCCCCGAACGCCTGCTGTTCCGGGCCCAACACCTCCTGCATCTCGCGCCTGTACATCTCCTCCATACGGCGTGTCTGCTCCTCGTCCCACTGCTCCTTCACAAGCGAGTTGCAGATGTAGTCCTCAACAATCCCCGTCCCGCCAGTTTCCAGGATGGTCGCCAGCAGTGCCTTTTCCGGATCCGGTGTTTCTCCGGACCTCGGCATCTCCCCGGCACCTTGCAACTACCGGGTCTGCTTCCGCGTGCGGCCACTCTCAAGTCCATGGCGCAGCGGGCCAGCGTTCGAGGCGCCCCAGAGGAGTTTCTTCCCTTCTAGCCCGCGGGGGTAGCGGTCGTCGGCTGGATCATACTTCATCTCCTCGAGGTTCTCGGAGTCGCCGGGATCACCACCGCTACCGCCGTCCCCACCTGGGTCGCTGGACTCTTCGCCGCCCGGGCCGCCGGCACCGCCGGCGTCACTGGTGCTGCTGCTCGGGCTGCTGCTGCTGCTGCTGCTGCTGCTGTCGGTGGGGCTGTCACTGCCTCCGCCGAAGTCGCCCCTTCCCGAAGGGGGCGACGGGGGAACGCTGCCTCCGTCCCCCGGAATTCCGTTGCCCGGTGCCGTCGGCGCCTCCTCGCGCACAAACGGCGTCGCTAGCCCTGGCGCTCGAGCCTCCATCACGTTGAGGTCGGACTCACTCTCTGAGTCTCTCCCCCCCCCCCAATCTTGGCGTGATGCATCCGCTCTGCTCTCACCCTCCCCGCCCTCCTCGCCATGTGCGAGAGGTGGCAGCTGCGGGGGAGCGGGCGATGCAGCGGACACGTGGCGCCAGGTGAAATAGCGGGTGGTGATTACGGTTCCAGCTTCGGTTAGCATGCGAACGCAGTCACGGGGGTGATTGTGGGCAGCACCAAGGTACCATCCTTTTTCGCCCTTGGGTTGCGACTTTGCTTTTCTTCTCGACTTGAACACGGCTGGTTTGAGAAACAGGTATGTAGACCCGACAGGCGGTGGGGAGTCGTGGAACATCTCGTAGGCGGATTTGTCGACCTCGTTTGATTTAGTGGCGGTGCAGTTCAGCTGATGGCATGCACACGAAATGGCCTCGGCCCACAACCCGGGGTGGTTCGGTGCGTCGGGTAACAGTTGCGTCGCATGGATGCGTGACGCACGCGCGGCATCAGTGATCAACCCTAGCGCTCTCTCCGCTGCATCGTTGTATNCACACGAAATGGCCTCGGCCCACAACCCGGGGTGGTTCGGTGCGTCGGGTAACAGTTGCGTCGCATGGATGCGTGACGCAAGCGCGGCATCAGTGATCAACCCTAGCGCTCTCTCCGCTACACCGTTGTATTTTGGGGTGTGAGGGGGGGTGAACTCTTGTTTGATGCCGTGTCTGCGGCAAACTTCCGCAAACTGCCCCTGGAACTCGCCGCCACCGTCGGTACGTGCGATATAAACCTTACACGGAATCCCTTTCGCTCGGTAGTCCGCCAGGAACTTCTCAAACCCAACCGCTGCGTCAGACTTGTGTTTCAAGAAGAAACCACGCGTTCAACGGGAGAAATCGTCTCTGATGATCAATGTTTACAAGTTGCAAATTGCCACCAATGCTCCTGGTTTCCATCTTTCCCCCCACGTCGAGATACACGCGAAATAACTTCTTAACTGCGCGTGTGCTCGTGCTCTTCTGGACGGGTTTCACCTGTACCTTGGACATCGAACAGTCAAGACAGGGTAGCAGCGGTCCATCCGTCAGCTGCACTCCCTGCTGCTCCGCCGTGATCCTGAGCAATGTCTCGTGGGCATGGCCGTGCGCGAGGTGGTACTCGTTGAGGTCAGTGGGGTGGGCTGCTTTCGCATCGCCAGGAACAATGAGTGCGGCACAGGCGGTGTGTAGCGTAGGCCTTATTTGATAGCCTCGTTGGGTCAGCAGCTTTCCAGTCCGGGGGAACCACACGTCCCCCCCGGCTTTCGTGGTCAGCGTGAGGCCCCCCTTCATCCCCGAATACGTGTGGCCCTCCTCCGCCAACGAAGACAGCGAGAGGAGGTTGTAGGGGGCCTCATGCGCAGCATTCAGTACTGGTACGGGTACTCCACCATCTTCCGTCTCTAGGACTAAGGTCACATCTCCGTATCCTAGAAGAGAAACGGGGACCTTGTCGCCTCCGATCCCCTTCACCCAATCGCTACGCTCACGGTAGTTCACGAAGTTGTCTGCACATCGGAACATGGAGCACGTGGCCGCTGTGTCGGCCACGTACACCGCCTGGCCTTGTTCCACAACCCCCACTAGACCTACTTCACCAACGGTACCATTCTCGCCTGGGGGGACTGCCACGGCACAAAACGCCTGGTCTTCCACGGAGTCCACGTCGCTCTCATGCTCCACCACTTGCGCTAGGACGGCCTCCTCCGTCGCGCACGTTTCTTTGGTGTGGCCTCGCCCCTCGCAGCGCGCACACCACGGCACGAAGTCTGTCTCATTGGTAATGCAGCCGATCGCTTAATGTCCACGATGTCCATACCGAAGGCACCGGCCCGAGACCGTATAGTCCCCGCCACCGCCGCCATGGGCGCCTCCACTGTTGCTTTCCTTGCTCTCCTCGACTCCTCCGGGTCCGCCTGAGCGGCCGCCGCGACCGCCGCCGCCGCGGCCACGACTGCTGCTGCGGCCACGGCCGCCGCCACGACCACGACCTTGCCCCTGACTCTTTGAGTACCGCTCCCTGCGGCCCTCACCGTCGGCGAAGAATGCTTGCTCTGCGCCCTTCGCCTCTTGTCCTTTCCCATGCTCCAGCTTGTCCTTGATCGCCTTGTATTCGATCATTACTTCCTTTAGCACACCGGTCCGCGTCAACTCCTTCGCGTGTCGCAGGTTGTGCTTTGTCATGGCATACTCGTCCGAAAGGGCATCCAGGAAGAGGTGAAGGACGAACGTTTCGTTGACAGTTAGTCCTTTCTCGGTTAAGGACTTTGCGGTTTGGAGCATCTCATTTAGGGCGTTTTGTTTTTTTTCAACTCTAGAGATCTTGGTCGACTTCAGGGACGTGAGGTCTTCTGACGGCTGTACAGATGATTCGGGGTCGTGTATGGTCTTGCTCACGAAGAGCTCCCTGGGGCGTCTCTGCCCTATTCATGATTTTCCGATCTTTTTCTTTCAACACGTGAGACAGAAAGTTCCACGCGTGGAATGCGAGCTCTACCTGCTCGCTCCGGTACTGCTGTGACAGCGAAAACTTGCTCTTTCCGCTGTTGACGGGGATCTCCAAGCTCCCGCTCTCTTTAAATTGTTCCAACAGGTTTGCGCCATGAGCTGCCATGCGGAAACCATTTAGCCATTCGTTGAAATCTTTCGATTTCACGCTGAACGGAGGAGAAGTGTACCGCACACTTTGGTACCCCGTCGCTGGGGTTGTGGCTCCGTATCCAAAGCCAACAGCAGCACCACCATCTCCCGTGACACTACAATATCCTTGGATGTGAGCCGCGGCTACTCTCACCTCTTGGGGGACAAAGCCCCCTGCTTCGCCGCTGTGCCGCTCTGACGGGCCAGACTCTCGAACAGGTTCGCGCAGGTACCTCCCGTCCTGCGCACTCCCGGTCCAAGGTGCCCCTCCTTCGGCGTTCGTGGACTCCGCGGCGGCGCTCTCCATAGCATCGCGGCGATCAGCGGCACCCTCCATGGTGCCAGCTGGCTCCTCCTTCTTGCTTGCCTTCATGGTATCTTCGACTAGCGATATTAGCTGGCTCATCTGATCCGTCAGCGAGCTACCTTGCGTCCTCAGGGCCACGAGCTCTTCTCTTGACCTCTTTCTGTCTTCCGCCGCAGAGTCGCTGGAGGAGTCACCCCCATCTTTGCGACCTGACATTCCTAATGGACTCTCCCTCGAGGGACTGACACCAGTGTGTTCGTATATGTCCTTTACTTGGAAGGGGACGACGTTTCATCTCTTGTATTAGACTAGACACGCAAGGGGAGTAGGGAGAAGTGAAGCCCTCTTTGGAGTTCGAGGGGTCCCCGCATATACAACCATTTCTAGGTGTACATGTGCCCCATCTGCGTGCCCTCTATCGTTGCCGGTAGATCGAACCAGTCCGTATCCAAACACACGAACAGAGCTTCCGCTGAAGATCTTTGCTGTCCCTCCTTCTGCTTCGTCCTGGTCGCCGCAGTCCTGTTCATCATGTGTATTACAGCTTGTCTTATCGAAATCGGAAATATCTGTTTCCAGAAAATTAAAAATCAAAATTGGGCTCTGATTGGTCAAGAGGCCCGGAAGCCGGTTAACGGCAATTTGGAATTACCGAAAAATCTGTGTCGCGGCGAAAATCCTCATGGACTTTTTTTATCCGTGTCCAGAAAATCTGTTTTGGAGTTTCAAAGAATGGAAGGGTTCGGCAACGCTTCACCTTTGGACTGGCAACCACACAGCGCTAGTTGCTCTCTCTCCGACTCTCAAGACACACACGATCACATACGGCGAGCACGCATAGCATGGCACATGACATGCTGGAGACGGCCAGGGCTGAAAATTGCGCAACGGGAAGGAGCCAGCGCGTCGGCCTGCTTTCACCAACGGCAGCAGCAGGCAGTCGGTTTGTCTTGGGCTACCCGCAGCCTGGTGGGCGGGAGCGCTTTGTCTCAGGCCTTCACAACTTACAGGAGCGGGCGACAACCTACCTGGCAGCAGCCTTCTGCGGTCGGCGAAGAAGGTGGTAAAACCGAGGTACGCTGCTGTTGCAAATAGCAAGTTTGGTGAGGCAGATATAGCCGATGTAGACTACTGTTTATTGAAACGGTCGAATTTGCCAGAGGCGTTATTGTTCCTGTATTTCGGGGTATCAGGTTGAGAAGAGTCCTTTTGGGATGGTCACTTTATCGGAGAGTTCACGTGCAGGAGAAGGCTCGCTGGACAGCGTGGAATAGCAGATTTATACAACAGCAGTACGTGAACTCAGAGAGGGATAGCAAGGATTGGCCAGATTGGGAGGCCAAGAAGTTGCGTTCTTTCCCGCCCACCCACCCTTTTTCTTTCGAAGGTGAGGGAACGGAAGGAATGCAACGGGTAGAGTAAATGGTAGAGTACCATTTGGGAACTTGGTCGTCTGAGATGTTCCGTACAGTAGGAAGAGTTCCCCACACCGGTGGAATGAGAAACCCCGGGCTGTTTTCTTTGGGAAGAGAGAGAGACAGTAGAATGAATGGACAGAGACACGGTAGGACAGGCGCAGAGGGCGTCTACAGGAATCGTGTTCTGTCGGCGTGGTTTCTCTCTCTTCCCCGCGTGTGAAGAGAAAACATTAATGCAAAAAGGCAATTCGAAAGAAAAACAATAAAGCTTGGTTTTGATTTTTTTGGCATCGGTCCGCGAGGTGGTCCTTCAGAGTTACGAGCACCGCAGTCTAGTAGAATACAGAGGTGTGCATAGTACACGTCAGCAGCAGCAGCAGCAGCAGCAGCAGTGACGTTCGAGAATATTTGCGCTAGTGCGTAGCTTGGTGGCCACATGGTGCGGTTGGGCAATTCTGTGGGGGTGCTATCGCTGCGTATCAGTTTCCCACGCGCAAGTTGTGTTGGTTTACGAGGGGGACCAACAACGGTGCTACACAAGGCTGTATGATACAAAACAAGGTTGCGTTTGCTAGGCTCCGCTCTCGAGATCAGGTTTTTCATGAACTCCTGGACCTGGCATAGACTACAAGTGCTGCTGCTGTAGGTTTGTTGTTCTTGAACGCATGCTTTCTCCTTGGTTTCTTTGTTATTTTGGCGTGGCAACGTGCGTAGTCTACTAACTCCGCCATTGTACCAACGCACCTCTCGTCTTGCACCGACGCGACCACGGGTACTTTTGTGGTATCGTGCACGAGGATCGTAAAGTGGAGGATCCTATGCTTGTAGAAGTGGGTGGAGAGGATGGCGATGGGTGTTCTCCAGACGCGGGTGGACAGCATGATGGCGTGCTGGATATGCTTTCAGGGCAGGTGAGAGGACATAGTACCCGTAGCTAGATATACTAGAGGATTTACAGCAGCGGCAAGAAACGCTTGCCGCTGGCCGGGAACTCTAGCTCACGCCGTTTTTTTTTGGGGGGGGGTAGGGTTACGCGCGGGTACGGCAGGCGCTATCGTTGGGCGCGGGGTGTTCATATTCCCCCTGTACCGTATGTGGACACGTTCCGTGACGCGACAAAAAAAAACATGATCAATCCATAATGCGACACGATTTTTTGCCCTCTATCGTCCACGGCCACGAGACTCCGCCTGTACCCACAACCATTTTTCACATGGCGCATCGTTGGAAGTCGACCTCTCGTAGGAAAGTCAATCAATATGCACGTCGACTCTTAGGAAGGATGGGAACAAAAAAAGATATCGCTGTCCTCCAAACGCTTCTGGTAATGTTCATGGCGCGGCTGCTGCTGTCGCGGGAGTTTTGATCTTGCTTGCGTCGGTGGGGTGGTGGTGGCGGGAGCAGCGTGTTTTGTTTCGCATGAGTGATGTTGTTGTCTTCGCATTAAACCGTATGTCAGTTGCTAAATGCCAAACTCTAGCAAAGACTCTCAGCCCGTGGTCACAAAAGTGCTAGAGCCATCTGAGGATCTAAAGAACACGCACACATATAACGAGAAAAAGGTATCCAAGAGCCCGAAGAGGTACTACACCTAAAAATCCCTGCATCACCGGATGCGTGCCCAAAAGCTGAACTGCACGTCCGTCCCACCGTTCGACTACAGTAGCATCACCCCCTCCCTGTCCCACTCTATACCAAAACGGAAGATTGCCGAGTACAGCACACTGCTGTCTGAAGTGCTGTCTGTACAAAAACACCATGGCAGGCATGGAACAAGCAGCTGGCGGGGCACAAAGCTGCTGCCTAAAGTGCTGTCAGAATGTGTCTGCGGCCGTACAGTGAAAAAGAACAACCAACCAAAGCCATCATAGCAGCAATTGACAATCACCCGAATCTCTCCCGATCGTCTGTGTGAGGCACTGCATTGAATAATATCGACACTAGCTAAGAATCGTTCCACTTTGAAGGGGTCTTCCACGATCAGGCACAAAACCAAGGCACCCGGGTTAGCCACGCCATCTCCGACGGATCTCTCTACAAAACCGGTGACGACGTCATCACACAAAACTAACACGGAAAGTCAGAAAAAAAAACGAAAAAAAATGACAACACAGATAGAAATGTTTGTCCGTGCGCCACGGGTCGATGTCGCCCGCATGCTCCGGTGTCGCTGCTCCATCCGGCGCCGCTGTAGTCAGCCCGAGCAAAACGCGACTCGACCTGCTCCGTCCGTACACGCCCTCGTTGCTGTCCTTCCCAGTCCGTTCCTCGCTTTCTCCCTCATTGCACTCAAGGTTCTTGGTCTGAAAAAAATGAAAATTCTCGCGCCGAATGGTCAACCAGCCCAGTTCAGNCAATACAGCTCCCTCTAGCAAACCTAGGGCCGTGTAGTGCCCGTCCACCCTTCTGATGGTGTCTGCCTCAGCGCACAAAAATGAGATGGGCATCACTGCCTACGCCGACGGCCAGAAAGGCCCGCGCATCTACATTTTCCCTCCTGACCCCATCAGTGCCGACCCAACTCCACCACCACACGCACGCCTCGCGGCGGATGCGCAGCAGCAAGAAGGTTTCGGTCATCCCTTGAGGGTGAGTCTAGCCCTGCTCGCCAGAAAGACCCCCCCCTTCGCTACAACCCATGTCTAAGCAAAAGCTTGTCGAGGAGCGAGGGGAAGAAGGGAGAGTGATGGACATGAACAAAACGACCATCTGTTGTTTTCGAACGGTTGGCGCCGCAATGGATTAGAAGGCGGTGTTTCGGGGCTAGCACGCCCGCACATGAATGAAAGGCCAATTACCATGAAACTCTCACGAGGAGCCAACGTTGGAGGCCGTTTTTGTCGCTGCCACGGGATAACCATGACATGTCGCCTTCCCGTGCCTCTTCACCTTCCGTTTACTCTGAACAAGTCTAGGTGACGGCTGGCTCCATGTCTCCCCCCCCTCCGCATTCCCTACTCCAAGGGCGAGGGGCTATTCCCCCGCCTCCGCTGTCTGCTACGGAGGCGGCGGCACCAGTGTACCCACCCCCAGATCAACTGTCATCGTCCACTACGCCTGGTTCTAGGCAATCCTCACTTGGAGGGCCCAGCGGTGGAACCCCGGCTAGCACATCACCACCTGTTCCGTCGGCTGCGCCGTCGACAGCGCCATCGGCTGCGACAATCAGGCCGACGGCTTCCACCACGCCTGGCGCAGCCCCGCCTCAAGGGCCCAGTAGTGGGAACGAGCAACGTGCATCCCCAACTCGTGATACAACAGCGACCGCGTGAAAGGAGGTTCGTACAGAGCCGCCGTTGCTCGACTGCTGGCCCCTCCCTAGTTTGAGGCAGGAGGCCACGCGGGAGGCTGGCCGGAGGAATGCGTTGAAGTTTGGTCCACTGCCTGAACAAGAGCTTCGACAAAATTGGAATGCAAGCAAACAGGATTTGATCGACGCACTGACGGGTCGCATGAAGTGGCGCGCAAGTCTTGGTGTAGAGCCTGAGTGGAAAGGCATCCGCTACGGCGTTACGCCGGAGAAGAAGAAGAAGCTGCGGCGTAGTCGACAACCTGGTCAGCCGACACCTAACTCGTCCCAGGCCTTATGCTGTCGGCTGGTGTGCCTGACTTTGCACCCGGAGTTCAAGGACGACTACATGTGCTTCAAGGGGGGTGGTGAGGGCACAGCGCGCACCGAACTGGACGTACGGGCGACCGGCGCGAAGCACGGGTTCTTCGCCCGGGTTGCCAGGGCGATGGCAACTCCCACCTGTCGCGACGGCAACGGTAACCCCCTCTCAGTACCCGACGAACACTCCAACGACGAGCTCGCATCGGAGCATCTCAAGTCGCTCCTTAAGCGTCTGGACCTAGAGGGGGCGGCTAAGTCGCTGCAAGAGGAACTCAGAGGGAAATTTAAAGGCGACGATGGCGCCTTTTATGCTGATCTCCAACTGAGATGTTTCAATTGGCTGAAAGAAGTAAGGGGCAAGCACACGGTGAGTGTAGCGGTGTTCTAGTGTTCATTCTGCAGGTGGCAGCGTTGTCCTGCCGTGACCACACAGGATGCAGGACGTCTTCGTACTTGGTCGGTCTGCTGTGCTCGTCTTGGGATATCTGTGCGTGCATCAACAGTCAAGCTAGAAATTTGGCGAGGTGTGAGGTCGATGTAGCCATCACTGTAGACGGGTTGCCTTTATATTCCCGTGATGAGCGTCGTTCGTTGTGTATGTGTGTTACTTCTTGTGTTGGATTTATGCTGTGGGCCCTCGCGACCTCAACCTGCAGTATCTTCGTGGGGTGAGCTTCTCAGCCAAGTTTTTTGGGGTGAAACAAGATTTTTTTCCGTCCTGCCTTGCGCCATTGTGTGTATGTCGTTCCCTTTTTCCGTTGACGCCCCAACTAAAGTACCACGTGGAATGCAGAAACGATTGTAAGCGACACAAGATTTCACCACTCAAGACTCACGGCTCGTTCCCATCCCATTTCCGACAAACGTGGACCGGTTCTTCGCTCTCTCCTTGGCACATCAGAAATTGAAGAACGAGCAAAGAAGTGGAGGGGCCGGTGCGGACGCAACTCAGGACGGGGGATTCGTCAACGCCCATAATCCGTTCCAGTTTATGCGGGGCGCTTTACCGGCAATGCTCTGGGAGGACGGTATCGACCTCTCTGGCGGAGGCGACGACGAGACATACCGCCCCAGCGATATCGTCCTCCCCGATGGACACCCAGGCTCAGGCAGCAGCGTGCCGGGCGGACCCGGGGTCCGCGGGAGAGGTGAGGCGACACCCGCCAGTTCCGCTGGCAACACCAACTCTCGGAAGCACAAGAAACCCAAGACGGGTTCCGACGACAGGGCGGAGCTGATAGCCGACACGAAGGAAGTGATCGCCTTATGGCGCAAAGCAAGGGAGCAGGAAGTACGGCGAGAGGACCCTGCTTTCGGTGATAGAGAAGGACCGAGCAAAGGACCTTGCCATGGAGGGATTCATCGACGATGTTCACAGGCTCTAAGCAAAGGTCGATTCTGCATCATCGAACGTTTTGCGGGAGAAATATCACAAGTTGTTGGATGCCGCTGAAGCGCGAGTGGCACGGGCTGAGCAAAGCAGCGACGAGGCGGCTATGGCATCATCCAGCACCGCAGCCGCGCCCCCACCGCCATCGGGTCCTGCTGCGCCATCTCCGCCTGCAGCGGTCGAAGGAGGAACGGTCGCGGGCCATGTGATGTAGGATCTCCATGGGCCGGGGGCGCACGCCCGTGATGATTTGCCGGCGATGGCGCGGTCCTTGGCGCTTTCAGGCGACGGGGGTGGGGCTTGAGTACTGGTTGCGCCGGCGAGAGGCGGGGATGGATGGTGGGGGGAATACAGGCTTTGGTGGGAGCACCCTGGCTGAAAACCTGTGGGCGGTTGCGTGGGTGTTGCTGTAACAGTCCACACGGGGGCGCAGGGGCTGTGGGGCGTGTGTGTTTCGGAGTGAGCGGCAGTAGCAGGACGAGAACAGAACGTACTCGCACGTGTTGAATGCTCCCCGAGCCGTGAGGGATGCTGTGTTTTTGAACTGCCACACGTGGGGGGAGTCTTTGGTCTGTGTTCTACGCGAAGGCGTTGCCTGGCATGGGGGTTGCACGGGGATGAACCGTTCAGTAAAAGCAACACCACGCCATTCCCACTTTTGTTTTTCATTATCTACTAATTTTCTATTTGTGGAGAAGGAGGTACCAGAGCAAGAAATCTTGGGGGGGCAATACTTGCCCGGATATGGCGAAGAGTCACTTCGCTTGGAAGTTGCTTCGTAGCCAATAGATACAGTAGGATGTTCCCACTTGAATAGTTGTTCCCCGGGGGGGTCAAGGAGTTGGCTTCCCCGACCGATTCCTTTTTTGGCTGTGTCTGGGGTGGTACTGCTGTACGTGGGCACGAAAAAAGAGGACTTTGTAGTGACTGCTGTTGACCTCGCAAGTATTGAACAAATCACATGGCTCGTCTGACAACCACGCATGATTTCGTCCAGATTGATTTTATAAGGTCCGCGTACTCCTGTCAACCATGGCGTTGGGAGGTGATGCATGTTTTTTTCATGAGTTTGTTGTGCGACGATTCTCGACGCGGCAAGCGACGAGACTCCTTCTTACGAAGGTGCACCGATTCAGGTAAAAGTCAATTGACGGATACCCTGCGAATCGGGTCTTCCTTACCACTCTCCACTCACAGAATTTACCCTCTACTGGGAACCTCTTGTGGCCAGGATGAGTAGAGTAAGGACGGGTATTAAGGACCCCCTAAGGCACCCCCCACTTAGGCAGCTTGTTCTCTGGTTTCAAGATGATTCATGAAGAGATCAAGGTATCATACGATAGCCTATAACATAGACTACGTGACAAAGAAAGAAAAATTGAAAAAAGTAAAGGTGGCGAGTATATATAGACCTTGAAGTATACCTCACGTTCTAGGTAAAATTTGGGTCAAAAGGAGGGGGGGGGTATTAAGGACCACTTTCCGGTAGTGGCCGGATACGCACGTTCTAAAGCGTTCCACGACCTGAAATTTGGTACACAGGCTCTTAGTATGACGTATGTTCGATACAAGAAAAAAAAAAAATCGGTGCACACCCGGGGACAAAATGCCCATATCCCCGGTTTTTCGGCCCAGTTTTGAGAAACGGAATATACCCCTTTTGGGTGGTACTGCGTGTTCTCTTGCCTTGAAACCATGCAAACGTAGTAATTTGACAAACTAATGACTTGTGTGCGTCCTACTCGGACTCACAAAAAAAAAATTGCGGCAATCGAATACCTATGGACGACATTATGCCTGTCCAGACATGGGGTACTTTCCCCCCTTTTTCGGCTTGTACGGCAGAAAATTCCGAAAAAATCTGCTACAGTTAAATGAACAATTTACACCCACAACTCAACCCCCACGAGACGCCGGTTGAGAGAAACGAAGTAAACGTTGCAGAAAACGCGTTGGACAAGAAGAAAAAAAAAAGCACATAGACCAGGGGACAAAAGTGCAGCATCCCCGGGTTTCTCGACAAACTGCCCGCCGGCCCGTCCCGACCCCCCCGGCGGTGCTGTTCGACCCCAAATTGCCTCAAGCAACCTCGTGAACAATATTTAACACGCTACGGTTTGAAATCGGTTCCACACGCAAACTTCAAGCCGTTCGGAGCTAATTTCACCCGGATACCAGCTGTTCTGCATCACGAAACAACCCCCCCTCGAAGACACCTAAACATCCACCACAGGTGTCCGCGTCAGGGTTCGTCCCGACCGGGAAACGGGCGCCG